AAAGAAAGACAGACAGACAGAAAGAAAGAAAGAAAGAAAGAAAGAAAGAAAGAAAGAAAGAAAGAAAGAAAGAAAGAAAGAAAGAAAGAAAGAAAGAGGCAATTTATGCCATAGCAGGGCAGCAATCAGGGTGCAAGAGATTGGGGGTATACTCAGGGTGATTTCTAGTGTCTCATAATCTTACAGTATTGAGTGATACACAGTATTAGTTCACAATAAGGAGTCTACCTTATGTATACAGGTATGTGCTTATATGTGGAGGCCAGAGGTCAACCTTAGGTGTTGTCCCACAGGATGCCACCTATCTTGTTTTTTAAGGCAATGACTTAGAGCTCACCAAGTAGGCTGGCCAGTGAGCCCCAGAATCTGCCCATCTCTGTCTCCCCGATAGTGACATTACAAACTTGTATTGTTACGCCTGACTTTTTTATGTAAATTCTTAGGGATCAAACTCAGGTCCTCATGCTTGCCAGGCAAATACTTTATTGACTGAGCAGTCTCAACTTCCCTAGGCAGATTTTCAAGATCAGGCCATCTCGGCCATCGTAGAACTCGACACTGGTTCTTGTCTGCCCAAGGCAGGCCTGGCACTTTGTCTGGACCCTGGAGCACTGAATAACCTGAATGGATGAGAACTTTTAAGAACGGCCATGGGAACTCAGAGATGTGTCTGCTGGGGCATATTTGGACACTGGGACCCTTGAACAAGGCTAGAGAGGGTCTAGGCCCTGGGGCAGACAGAATAGAGAGCTGGGGAGAAGCCTTGAGGAACAATGAAGGGATCCCCTAGGCAAGAGGAAGGTCAAGATGTTCTTGGGAGCTCTGAGCTGCTGGGGAAGCTGAGAAACCCGGGAAGACCAGCCTTCCCTCCACAGCGAGAGCTCTGCTTCTTTATCTCACTGTACCTTTAAGGGAAAGAAAAAATGCTTTCTTGTATGTGTACATAAGCTTGGACAGTACACACGTGGAGGTCAGAGGGCAGCTTTTAGAGGTTGGTTCTCTTCACTTTGCAGGTCGCAGAGACTGAACTGAGGTTGATATGGGCTACCTTTACCACTGAGCCTCCTCGCTGGCTCTCCCTTGATGCCTTTAAGCATCTGGTTTAGGGCCATTCTGGGGGCCCACCCTCGTTACTTCTGGCCTCTCTAAATCTTATCTCCCTGAGCCCCTGGGGTTTCCTGGAAAACAGGATTCTCAGAATTCCTCAAAGTGACTTCAGTTGAGGTACGGTTCCTCACACCTGTAATCCCTGCTGTGACAGGATGTTTGCCGCAAGTCCAAGGCCAGTCTGGGCTACTCGGGGAGGCACTGTTTCCAAAACAAGGGGCTGGGGAGAGGGTCCAGCTGGTAAAGCATTGCCGTGCCATCTTGAGGATCTAAGTTCTGGTCACCCACATAAAAAGCCAGCATGGTGTACTTGTAATCCCAGCACCGGGGAAAGGAGACGGGAGGCTCCCCAGGGCTCCCCAGACATCGTAGCCTAGCCAAATCGGTGAGCTCCAGGTTCTTCCAGGGACGCTGTCTCGGAAAATAAAGTGGAGAAGCAATTGAGGGAAAAGACCTCACATTAATCTGTGGCCTTCACACACATACAAGCACATTTGTGCATGCACCCCTGTTCCCCCCCACACACATGTGCACACATACAAACACCTCTGTAGGTCCCTGACCCTCCCATGTGCACTGCAAAAGTCAGGAATATCCTTCTGATCTCTAGGAATGTCCCAGAAAGTGTCCCAGGAGTCGGGAAAGCCACAGTCCCACTTCCCATAAGCAGAGTGTGAAGTTAACGCCCCCAGGGACCTCAGTAGGTGAGGCCACAGGGTAAGTCTCAAAGGACATGCTGTGCCCTAGTGTGTTGCTGTACAGCAAACGCCGATGTGGGCCCTGTGGGGGAGGGGCGTAGCATCAGGCAGTGTCCCAGGGCAGGGGACACCTTTGACAGGGAAGGGTGACATCCTGGAACTCAGAGGTGTGTGTAGGGTTCTAGCTTAGCCAGTAGTTCCCAGGGACCAACACAAAAACCAACGGGCCTTGAAACCTGCGGACTTCCGAAGGCAGGTCAAAAGTCATCTCTAAGGGGCGCAGGAGATGGAAATGTGATGCAGCTACAGTCAGCCCCCCCCCCCCCCGGTTGTAAGCCTGCGCACCCTTGCTGCTGTTCTGGCTCTCACTGCAGAAGAGGGAAGAAACCCACCCCGACTTGTCACCTTGGGCTCTGCCCACCTGTGCATCCCCAGTCTGCCGCCGAAACTACCGCTTTGACCTTGATCATAAACCGCACTTGCATTTGAAGTGTTCTTCAAGTGGGGGAGGCGGGCAGAGGTCATCCTGTCTTCCCCACCCCCTTCTCCTTAGCGTGTGGGGGGGGGCGGGGGGGGATCTGTTCTGCTCACTTTACTGTGGGCAGACCAGGAAGTGACAAGACCGGCCCTGAGACTCCCTAGGGGAACGGAGGAGGATGGTGGCTGGTGGCTTCCTCCACTTGCAGTGCAGGGCGGGGACCGAGGGCCTTGCACTCCGCGATTGAGGGCGGGAGGGGTGGCGTGGCTGGATAAGCGGCCGCGAGCTGGCGGGTGGCCACCACCCGGCCAGGTCCGGCCCCACGGGCGGGCGGGGCACGAGGAGAGGAGGAGCCTGAGGCCGAGCCACCGCCTCCGCCGGCGACCTGCAGCTACCCTGGCTCCTCCAAGCGGCCGGCGGCCGAGGTGAGTGACCTTCTCCAGGCTCGGGTGTCGGAGGCAGTGAGTGTACTGTCCCGGGGACCCCTGGTGCGCGCCTGCTCTGATGCACCCCGAGCGATCGCTACAGGTCGGGTAACCTAGGTCCCCTAGGATCAAGCCACGTGAGTCTGGTGGCAGAAGATCCCAGCGGGGTGGCCACAGACAAGGGGGAAGAAGGCGTCCCTCTGAGCCCATGTTGCACTTGTCAGCCACCCTCCGGGCTCTACCACGGGTGCCACGTGCTCCTCCTTTTAGCTCAGCGGGTTTAGGCAAATCTGCCCAGTGCCCGCCTCTCTGCCCGCGGAGTCTTAACCGGAAAGTAATTCCTCTTGCCCCATTGAAACCTGGGAGCCGGTTGCCGGCAGGAGTGTAGTGGTAACTTTGGTCACTCCAGTTAGCTAAAGTGGAGGTTGTGTCTTGGGCTGCTTGGATCAAGAGGCAGCTTGTGCTGGTGGGGGGTGAGGGGTGGTACAGGGCACCAAGAAATCTAACAGGTGTTCAGAGTCACTTCTGAAACAGGCTCCAGAAAGAAGGGGCTCGTGAAATGCTGTAGGGAGGTATGTCTGCCGGGCAGAGTGCTGCTATAATCAGCAGCCAACATTTCTCAGGCACTTAGATGTGTGCCAGGCTGCTTGCTAGGGCCTCTGCATGAACTAGCCCAGCTAATCCTGGCAGCCAGGAGGCCCTGGCTTATCTCTGGTTATTCAGGAGGATGCCAAGCCTTCCAGGTCCTTGGCATTTTGCACAGACACACAGGTAGGTAGCAAGTCATAGAAGTTGCAGGCTTTCTGGACAAAGGGGTCTTCTAGAAGCAGGCCAGATCCTCAGAATATCTGGACAGCCCGAGGAATGCAGTGCTGGGTGGGCACAATGCCCACAAGACCAAAGGGCATGCCCTCTCAAGTCACTGCAAGGGCTATGTGTAGTGTGTGTCCGTGTTGAGGCCAGCGGTGGATGTTGGGTATCTTCCTTTATTGGTGTGCACATTTGAAAAGATAGGATCACTCACTGAACCTGGAGCTCACCAATTGACTAAGTTGTCTGGCCAGCAAGCCCAGGGAATCCCCCTGTCTCCACCTCTCGGATGCTGCCATTATGAGTGTGCACGGGTGCACTAGTTTGAGTTCTCGGCTTTCGAACTCGGTTCTTTGTGCTTGCATAGAAAACACATCACTGACTGAACCGTCTCCCTGGCCCCTGCAAAGGCTGTTAAAAACACAGATGACAGCCAGCTGAATCAGTCAGAAGTACAAGGAGGGCCCAGCTGTGTGTCTGTCTGTCTTACTCATCTCTGTCACCAGTGGCCTGCACAGGGGTTGGCAGCAAGCAACTGATTAATCAATACCTGATGGATGGATGGATGGATGGATGGATGGATGGATGGATGGATGGATGGAATGGGACAGACAATGTCACTGGGTGAAGTGGTGGGGGATGGGAAGACTTTTTTAAGGAGGCCTTGGAATGAGATTG